CAACACCGCTGCGCTCGGCACGGACACCACACGGACGGCCACGTCCACCCGACCTCGGACATCGCCGATCCAAGGATCGATGTCGTCGTGGTCACCTTGACGATCGCCACCATCTTCCTGGACATGCGCCTTGGTTTCGAAAGGAATGGGGGTGGTCAAAACCATGAAACACCAAGTAACACCGGTCCCAAAGCATCGGATGATGTGTTTCTTTTCGATTAGAGGGATCATAGGCTGTGACAGCTAGATTCTGACGGTTTTGGGTGAAGCCTTTACAGGTCGTTCGTCGCTTGAGGGAAGTCTAGAGTCCATGAAGTGTTTCTTTGTCCAGAAGTTCTTCCGGAAGGGTCTTCTCATTGTCTTCTCCATCCGGAAACGTCGGTTGCTCTTTTGATAGAGCTCATCTTTTGAGGTGCACCCGCGGGTAGACCAAACGCGCATGGTAGGAGCGGTTCCACGGGCCTGGTGGCCAGTCCATGCTCTTGGCGTGTCCATCTTGGCTCTTTGGGAAGGTGCAATCTCAACAGGTGCAGAGGATGCCATGAGTCCTTGCAAAAGGCATCTGTCACAGTCAATCAGCTAATCAAAACCGGTGCCCTGCTGCTCACCGCACGTATTATCTATAAGTCGACCCATTCTGTACCCGCGATAGTAAAAGATCCGAGTGGGGAATCTTTCCAACATGCCGCCGACAGACCCATGATCCGCCGTTCAAAACTGTTTTAATCATGGGGGCCTCTAAAAGTGAAAAAGGGAGCTTCCAAATCCCAGCAAAATCCATAGGGAGTTCCAAATGTGCCCAACAAGATCCCCTTGCTTTTTGGAGACACCGCCGCATATAGCGAGAGAGAGAGAGAGAGCGAGGTCGAGCTTGCCCATCGATCCACTCTTCTTCCGATTGCCACTGGGCCGTTCAGCCGCCCGAACAGACGGATGGTCGCTCCAATGCTCCAAGAGACAATGGTAGGAGGCTATGGGGTCCCATCTGAGTTATGAGATTTCATGCTGCTTCACATGGCGTACGTTGAATCTCTTCTTTGCCTCCAAAGAAGACATCAACTTTTGCCGGGTCCTTAGGGTGCGAGGAGAAAGGTTTGGATGCATAGACCTTCAACCCAGGTTCTTTTAAAGCCGTGACACATCCTTTTCGGGGTCTACGCTTAAGCGAAGGTTCACTCGGAAGTGCAAGGGAGATTGTTTAAACATTAACTCATAGTTCGGCGGAGGGATTCACCAAACAAAGGCTACCAGGAGTGTCCAACTTGCCTTTGGATCCCAAAATGTTAGCCACAGCCCCCCACTATTCAGAGCTAGCTGCGTTTGTTGCAGAAAGTCCCCATTCCAAGACTTGGCGCTTGGCTCGAACCCTGCAGGTGCTTAATACAGCACATGTTTCGACTGAAAGACAAGCAGGTGACCCTAGAATGGTATGAGTATCCTCCCATTTGCAGGCCTGGAGGCGAACGTTGAATCACTTTCAATCCCAGGTTCAGTCTTTGACAGCTCAGAAATGACTGGGAAAACGGCAAAGCTTTGCATGGGAAGATCGGCCATGAAGAGTCAAAGACTTCCTCTAATTTCAAAGAAAGACCACTTTCAAACAGTTCCCGGCCGGTAGTGCTTCCAGTTACGGAGCTAAATCACATCAAAAAAGGCGGCTACTAGTAGCAAATATTGCTGCTAGTAGGAATGACCTCCACCCTAGTACCGTCCCTACATAGTTAATCACGTCGACTTGAGGTTGAGATTGGGGAAGCTGGCCCGCGCGTTTCGCATGATCATCCTCTCAGGCAAAGCTTTGCTTTTGCGCGCGCGGGTGCATGTGTGTGAGTGTGTTTTGGTTAAGAAACGGGTGCCAACAAGGTCTCCTGGAAGCGTTTCCTTAGAATGTTTTTTCGTACAGACTGGATTTGGGGTGGTTTCCCCACAAAGGCGACTTGGCCCGAGTGGTGCAGTCACCGAAATGAGTAGTTTTGAACTTCCCCAGCCCACCTTGTCAGACTTGTCGTACAAATTCTTGGGAATAACGAAATGAAATGCACCATTGCACCATGCAAATTTCACTTGGAACTCAAATGACATGTCGTTTCTTGGATCTCATTCTTCAAGTTTTGTGTGAAACAAGGTATGCATCTTCAGTATTTTGAGGTCAGTGGAAGGTATGTATGTCCCCTATCGTTCAAGGCCTGTACGAGGCCTTTGGTCTTGCGACAGCTTCAAAATGAGAATCTATAATCACCTATAGTCTACACATCATTTCCAACATTATCCAACCATGTGTCACAGAAATTGATCCAAAGCACCAGTTTCAAGGGTTCTTTACCCTGAACTGAACTGGGCCACTGAAGCACCAGTTCTGATAGCCCGACAGCCCGGAACTCCGAATTCAAGAAGGATTGGAGTCCAACAAGGCCTGGTTGCACAGTCACTGTCACCTGGTAGTGCGTACAGGTCGCCTCGAATCCTTTGGACTTCTCTTGAAATGCGCCGCTTGGAACAACTGTTTGCAGGAAGAGGGTGCAACAGTGGGCCTAGTCTACTCAATTTGCACCCATGTTTGGGGGACCGCAGACCGGAAGAGCAGAGTTCACTTGTCCAAGACCGGAGTTGTTGTGCAACAAGGGGCAGTCTTCAAGGGTCGTTCCCCGGACGAAATAGGGCTCGTTAACTGTTTGCTTTGATGTTCTTTCCCAGTCCCAGACACTCCACGTATGGCATATTTACATACATAGGGGTGGTTTGGTGGGTCAATGTAGGTAAATATGCCATACATGGAGTCTTTCCCAATGATCTTCTGGGATGTCTTGGGCAGGTTCGCTTGATCTTCTGCGAGAGACAGCATGTCGTCGAACGATCTCTGGTCAGAGCAATGTCAAAACAGGTAGGACCACAGAGGACTCCAACACGAACAGGTTTAGACTGTGATGCGATCAAACTAAACTGCTATGTCGTTGTATGTCGTTGGTGATCTGCACAGGATGTGTTTGGTTTCGGTTCTGATCTGAACCGAAGCCACCACCGTGGGCTTCCAAGTTCAGTACCACAAAGACTATAATGACCGATAGTATCCCGTAATCATGTCCAAGGGGGAGGTAATCTATGCATGATTGGGGAATGAGCTACTAGGAACAAGTGCATCGCTACTAGTAACAAGTGCCTTACTAGTAGTAACAAGAAGCTATTAGAAACAATAAGCAATCTGGAGAGCGGTGGAGCTGACAGAGTCTTTTCCCACACGAGCTCTTGGAGCGTCAGAGGGTACAAGTGAACAGGGTGGACCGGGCCATGCGGTCATGTCTTATTGGCATCTAGTTCACCCCAGAACTTGTCAATGTGTCCCAAGATTGTGCCTTTTCCTCTCTGGAACCACCCATGTGATTCGCTCTTGGACACAGGGAAAAGCACTTCGGGTAGGTCAACACAGAAACACAGAAGAGTTATGTTTCCCAAAGAAGCCAACGCCAGAGAGGCAGGCCCAGAGAATGCCGGACTGCGGCGGGTGCAACCAGGGCTGTCCTGGTACATTCATGAAGCGCTTGGCATTGTGATGCTGGAAAACCATTTGGGCGATGATATTCTGTGATGGCCTCCAACCTACTAGCGATGGCCTCCACCTAATAGCGATGATATTCTGTGATGACGACTTTCAAGCACGAGTGATATGAAATCACTCACCCTGTCGGATCATCCTTGGAAGGGGAAGGGGATTTTCTGTGTTTCCCATATGTCCATCACCTGTGTACCTGATGCGATCCTACACGTGCTTGAGAAACCTCACGATGCCAACTTGCCTCGCTCTCGAGGTGGTGGCTTCGGTGACGATGTTGGGCTATGCCACCCTGGTGCTGATCTTCGTGCAGTGCGTGTGTGGTCGCTGGGAACGGATGGAAGAGTCCAGGATCAGAATCTGGAGTGGGTCTCCAGCTCACACGGGAATACTGCTAAAGGGATCAACAAGCCATATCACCTCAAGTGTTAAACTATGGTAAAGTCCAAGGGCTTTTTTGTCTGAAGATGAGAAGACGGGAAGATCAAATAGTTTAGCAGAGAATATATATATCATACAACAAATATGGTTGCCATCACCAAAGTCTGACCGAGTTCTTTCGGACCTTCCAGCTGCACTCATTTGAGGAATCGGCGTCATGTTCCTGACTTTTCTCTGTATAGGCATCACTAGCCAGTGCAAGCAAAAAGAAGGAAGACAGGAAGACTGGAAGAAAGAATTCAAGAAATCAGAATTCAAGAGAAGTGTGTTTGTGTATAGAAGACGCTTTGAGCCGTCCCATCAGCTCTTCACTTGATATCCAGTTGCGGCTATGTTCTTGCTTGGTCTGTATAGTTGTATATGGGTCCTTGCTTTGATGTTTTTTGGTCTCTGAAAATGCTTGAAGATTGGAAATATTGAAGATGCAAGATATGACGGTCACCCTTTAATCTGCATGGTTCATGTTTTTACTTTTCCTTCCACAAACTGGATGATCCTTGTGTTTTCAGAGGAGGGTTAGCAGGTACACAAATGAGTAGCTAAGCCTTAGGCTAAGGCATGCTAAGGCTTTCTGAGCAGTTTTTACTGCTGGCAGACTGCTTACATACCACCTGCGCAGTGAAAGTTGTGGGCTTCATGCATGTGAAGAGGGGCGCTGACCGGGTGTTTTTTTCGCCTACCCCGCCTACCCCGCCTGTGGCGAAGAAACATGAAGTTTCCGAAGTGAAGCCTACACGGCATGCGTCACGCGTCATGCGACACGTCGAGGTATGATCATCAGCACCCTGGTGTCTCGGTACCTCGAAGATCCCACCATGGACAAGGAGGCCCGACGGCCCCTTGGAGCGAATCGAAGGCAAACGCGAAACGTCTCGAACGAATTGAAGAGTTAGAGGTTTAACCAAATCAGTTTTTGGAATCCATCTCTCCATGCATGTCCGGGCGATTCTTTTCGCCGCCGCTGAGGTACGTCTTCCAGTACTGGGGGACCTTCACCCGCACCTTCCTCACCATGTTCGAGGCACGCTACGACGCGCTGCGTCGTTGCGTCGCGGTGGGCGGAGTCCCTCAGCGAGAGGGAGGGGAGGGGCTGCGGCAATTGCCAGAAAGGGTAGTGCACTCATTGCAAATCTTTTGCTGAAGACAAAAACTGCCCTTCTAAATCCACCTCGATGTCCGATTCTCCGGATTCTCCAACTAAACAGTGACAAGTCATTAACATAGACGAATCGGGGCAGACTCCTGGCTCATGACCTGTGACCATGCACCCAATGCTTCTGCCCGTGGGCAGGTCTCTAGCGCTGCGTTAGCCTGCCGATCCTCCGCGCCCGTGGGCAGGTCTTGTTTGCCAACTGGGCACCATCCTGCCGTTCATTGGTGGACAACGTGAGCGAGTGGTTCTCCTTGATCTTCGTGGCTTACAGGTCACCTGGGCAGCGAAGCAAACGGAAGTGGGTGATTTTCCTAATTGGCAGCTCTCAAGAAAAGAAACAGGGCCAAGATCGACAGGAACTGGAAGCCCCCACGCTTTCCTTCACAAAAAGAGTCATTGGTGAAAAAGATCTGCGCAGATCGTTTGTCAATCAACTTCACCGCGGAAACCCCAACTGAAATGGGGAACCAACTTGGCAAGTCCCTTCAAGGAGGTCCTTTCGATTTTGAGTTCAAAGGACCTGCGTGCTTCTCCCAGCCCTTTTTTGGTTTCATGCACAGAAGATACAAGGATATGAGACCACCCCCAGTAAGAAAAGGCTGCACAGTGGAACAACATCAAATGTCAATGGTTCTGGTCGATATTTCCGGAACTGTGACTGGACAGGCCCAGTAGGGTCCCACGACTTAGCGCAAAAACAAAAACTATATACTCTGCTGGGTTACACCACGGTACGCCACGTCACTACAATTCACGGATGCCATGTCGCTAATCTTTGCATCGGATCGGCTTTGTCCGCAAACGTGTCGCTGTCCTCAGAGTGAAACTTCATGAGAAACCTTACTTCAATGAATAGAATCGCAACGTAATTGTAATGGTCCAACCTAAGAGCGATGGCCTCCAACCTAGGACCTATGAAAATGGAAACAGATCCAGATTGGAGCCGCGGTAGGAAACCCTCGCTGTCAAACTGCCCATCATCCACTGGTAAACCCCTCCAGCCGAAGTTCGCCCACACACGTTCTGCGCGAGGTGCATTGTAGGCTTCGCGCTGCTGAACGTGGTGAATTCTGTCGCTCTGTTTGCACATGGGTTGGGTGTTGAACAGGTTCCTGCTACTAGTTGCGTCCTTGCTACTAGTAGTAAGGCCAGGAGCCCCTAGTAGCGTCCTTGCTACTAGTTGCTCAGAAATTGTATTTGGTGGCATTTTGTGGTTCACTACGTTGTGTTGATAAAGCCAAATGCCAAATGCCGCCTCCTCGTCCATGGTTCTTCAGGTGATGCTACCGGACGTCGGGTCCAAAGTCACCACGGTTTGGTATTTGAAACGACTCGGTTTGGGGGACCCGGACGGATGCGCAGCACAGGAAGAAATTCGTCAGTTCAGCAAATCCCGGATGCCTTCTCAGCGGCCTGGACTGGTTTTCACTTCTACATCACAATACCATACAATAGGAACAAGAAGCTACTAGTAACAAAGGGCATCGCTACTAGGAGCAAGGACGCTACTGGGGGCTCCTGGCCTTACTACTAGGAACAAGAAGCTACTAGGCGCTCCTGGCCTTACTACTAGGAGCAAGAAGCTACTAGTAGCTCCTGGCCTTATTTAGCATGTGTTCCTCATGAGTCTTCAAATCACTTCTACGGATTCTAAGGTCCAAGGCGTGAAAGCCCCGAGAAAAGCACCGGATGGAGGGTGTGTCAACGAACTCCATACCCCCTTGAGAACTGGGCAGTGACAGAGCCGTCGAGACCTGCAGACCCTGCAGGTCTTTGTGTCGCAGACCTTAAAGATCGCCGACTCGGATGAGGAATATCTCATCAAGGTCAGACAGAATCTGGCATCGTTTTGGTATTTTTTGGCTTAGTATGTTTATGTGTTTTTGTTTTTTTGTTATTGTTTCATTTGTAAGGAGGGCGAAAGCCGAGAATAGCTCATCAAGGTCAGACAGTTGCTCGACAGCCTGTCGTGGCTGTCGACACTGTCGACACGGTCAGGCCTCGCGTCACTGCAGCTAGCAGCAACGCTAAGTGGAAGAAGTCAGTCCTCCGATATCAAGAGCAGATGAAGAAACCCCTCCATAGAAAAGTCCAGAAAGTTCCTGGAGAGGCCTGCCAGGCGTATCCCTCATGACAGATACAGATCATGAACGTCATGAATCCATCATAGAGACCCTGTAGTTCAATCCCACGTCAAACTGGTCCGGGAAAGAAAAGGGAAAGGCAACAAACCAGGTCCAACTAGGGGCGGCATGCAAAATAACATGGGGACAAAGCCTCACGAATTGGGTATCCTTCGTAAGTTTTTCAAAACGTTATTTGTGTTGCTTTATAGGAAATACAGATCTACTTAAAAAAAGAACGAAAGAAACGAACGAAAGGAAAGGAAAGGAAAACTAGGGGAAAGCAAGCAGGAAAAGGAAAAGAACCGGGGAAAATCGATATACCAAACAGCAAATTAAAGGATCAGATGATGGATGATGCTGAAGGCTTTGTTCGAAAGTTGCCTATTGAGGGCCTCAAATTGAGGGGAAGAATTATGATAGTAAGGTATTTTAACTTGTTCATTACCCAGTAGATCTTGCGTGGACAATTTCTCGATATAATCAGAGAGGGTTAGAGGGTGGATTGATCCTGACCCCACATCACCATAACTGTCCCAAAGTGGACCTGTGTACATGTGTATATATATATATACATCTCATATACTTATACCTCGCAGTATATGTATTTATCTATTTATCTAGCCCGTGGCCCTGCCGCACGACTTATTTAAGTAGGCACTTACGTATTTAAGTAAGGGAGTAAGCTCAGGGCGACTAGTTTGCTTCCAGTAACTGGACGCAGGATAGCTCACACTAATGATTTGGTTCCTTGCGAATGATTTGGTTCCTAGATTTTATGGAAACTTACTTGTGAGCTATGTATATATATATATTAACAACAAGTATACACATATCAAGATCCTACATCGTTCATGGATTGCCCTGGTCTAGGACTCTGATGAAGCACAATCCCTTGAACGGAGGTTTTGAAGGTCCGCCGAGTTTTTCCAAAGGGCGGGTTGAACAAGCATATTTAATTAATAGCTTCTTGTTACTACTAGCGTGGCACTTGTTACTACTAGCGTGGCACTTGTTACTGCAAACGAGCCTATTTGACCAGTGTGTCTTCGTGAACATGTTCTTCGCTGGTTCCTATTGGTTCCTTGTATCACACTTCCAGAAAGAAAGCAAATCGCATGCGTTTCGTTTCAGCCGTGCTTCTCTGCCCCAACGCTAAATCCGAGGAAAAGCCAGGCTCAGTACCGCAAGAAGTTGGAGAACCTCTTCCAGGCCGCCGATGTGACCAACGACGGCTTTCTCACCATGGCTGCTGGGATCGGAAGGTGAAGCTGTGAAGCCACAATCGGGGGCAATGGACCGTAATGGACCTCATGTTGTACCAAAAACTAGGAGAACTAGTACAACACTAGTATAACTAGATGAGAGAAGGCCTGTAAATTATGTTGTTTCTGTGGGGTTGATACCACCAGTGGTGCAAGCAGACTGATTCTTTGTTTAAATTGTTTGTCAGCTGCTTGAAAAACCCAATCCACAGAAGGTACCCTCTTGGACAAACGGCCCCGTTTTAAGGAACTCTGCTTGGCTCACACGTCCCCTGTCCACGATTGCAAGTGGTACCAACAGGATGCTAGTCTCCCGCCACCCACGATCCCGGCCACCTTAGGATGAGTTCATGCGATTGCTGGAGGATGAGAAAATGCACTTGTGGCTCTCACAGTTGCAACTTGAATACCATGCCCCCCGGACTGCATGCGGCATGCAATCAAAGGGGGGCGGAAATGGAGAAGCAATCGGGTCTTTCAAAACTCGCAAGAACTTGGCCCCACTTGAGCCCACCCGGTTCGAATCGGGGCCGGAGGGGCCATCTCCTTGGAGTGGAGGAAAATCTTTCGTGGGGAAAATAGGATCTGAGACTATGTGTTCCTAGTAGCTCCTTGTTACTAGTAGCGTCCTTGTTACTACTAGTAAGGCTGTTGTTACTAGAAGCGATGCACTTGTTCCTAGTAGCTTCTTGTTACTCGGCCAGGAGCCCCTAGTAGCGTCCTTGCTCCTAGTAGCGATGCCAGGAGCCCCTGGTAGCTTCTTGTTCCTACTTCTTCGGATTTGGAGGAACAGCTGAGACTTTGAGTATCTCTCAGCCTTTGAAGGTTCTGAGAACAGCAGTGCTCATCCCTGAAAACCCCAGTGTTCTTCTCGTATGTGGAGATCCTCAGGGTTAGGCTGGGCCCTAGTTAGTCAAGAATATGTTCACACAACTTGGATGACCAGAGACTCCCCAAAACAATGAAACGCCATGACATCACCATGACCTGCCCTTTCCCAGTGTCTACCTGGGGTATTCAAACACCGCGCTTTAAATGCAATGGCCATCCTTGAAATCCTGAGGATTTGATGGAGCTCTTCGATATGATCGATTCCGGCGACGGCCCGGGAGAAACGCCGACGGAGTGTGTCCATCGTGTCGAGCGTGTCCGGTTGGGGGTCGGCCGTCACTGCCGTGCCGTCAGCGTCCTTTGTCGTCCTTTGTGGCGATGCCTGACGTCCGTTGTGTGTTGGTGTTGAACCAGTAACCATTCCGAACCCCAATCGACTTCATTGGGTTGCGCAGCATGGGGCAGATGTGGGAAGAGATGCCTCACAGATCTACCAAACTTTTGCTAGTAGGTTGGAGGCCATTGCTATGCTATTAGGTTCTTCTTGTAGGTTCTTCTACCAAACTTTCGGGAGTTGGTGAAGTCAGTGCGGTTCCCGCAGCTCGAATTCCTAAAAAGACTCACGAGCTTGGAATCCTGGGCACGAAACGAGTGCAGAATGACCACCACGAATTCAGCCATATGCAGATGACCAGACACCCTGGTGGCTGCCCCCACGTTTTGGACATCTCCAGCTTGTAAAAGTGTCCGGACTTCCAACAGATCCGGTACCGCAAAACCGGGCCAAAACCCCTCTTGTCGCAGTCCAGGCAGTTTGTCTGGACCGAAAGAAGGGTTTATATCCACGACGAGTGTCTACCAATGTGACAATTAATTGTTGAACAATTCTTTACCACAATTCTTGTGTGAACCTCGTCAATCCATAAAGCAATAAAGACAACGACTCATAAATCACAGTGATCTGCTCTGACTCTCCCTCACTAGATCGCCAGGGCGCATCGATTGGAAGGAGTTCATGGATGGAGCAGGACGACTCAAAGGACAAGCCAAGAGCATGGCCCCTTGGAATGAACCTATTGGAGACCATCGCTACTAGGAGCGATCGGACGCTACGAACGGGGCTCCTGGCCTTACTACTAGGAGCAAGCACGCTTTTAGTTCCTTCTTGTTACGGAGCCCCGTTCGTAGCGTCCGATCGCTCCGTTCGAGTCGCGATGCCCGAAATGCTCCGCCTGGTTCCAATGGAAGTGGCACCCCGTCTCCACGACGTCACCCCGTCTTCGTCGCTTCCACGAGCATCGTCTCAGGATGTCTTTCGCCTGGAGACAAAGGTCGACACATTGATTAAGTCTTTGACCTTGAGCATGCCTGGGCGCTTTGCACGGCTTCGCTCGTAAATGTGGGCAAGCAGGGAAGATGATTGGCCTCCATGGGTGATCATGTGGCGACGTGGGTATATATGTGGGGTGCTTACGAAGAGTCTTCCGGATTTCGTGTGTTGACACAGACCCACCTAGCCTAGCCGGAGCGTCTATCTCCACCTGTTTCGATTGGAGTGAATCATTTCGAGTGAACCCAAACCCACCAAACCGGGGTGGGGCCACCCTGTTTGCGTGCGGCACGTCTGCTGCTGAGCCCGGTTGGATGGACCATGGATAACGGATGGATCTTCCACACCATCGAGGAGGAAAGATGCAGCAAAACCTCGGTATCCACGATTGAAAGCGTGGCACTTGTTACTAATAGCTTCTTGTTACTACTAGCGAGGCACCTGTTACTACTAGCGTGGCACTTGTTACTACGGTATCCTCAAGATGTTTGAGATCCGAGGGGTGCCATTTTTGCGATGGTTTGAGGCCCTCGCTAGTAGGTTCTGTTTGCTAGGTAGGTCATCAAGACGCAACAAGTTGACATGTTTTCAATCAGCAGGACCTAAACATGCAAGCCTGTAACTCTGTGGGTTTTTCATGCTCTTGAACCTGAGTAACTCCTGTGCGGCTGATTAAGCTGGTTCATGTTTGCAGGGAGACCTAAACATGCAAAGTACCCGCCCGTGGACCTGGGAACGTTTGCTTGAATGCTGATAAGAATCATGTCAGAAAGGATGCAACGTGTGAAAATGAAGGTCAATGCCTTTCTGCAAAAGAACCTGAGACTATTGTTTTGGGGGGGATTATGATTATACAAGCTTGACTCGCAGAATGAATGCAGCTCGATTGGTGACCACTTGATGGCCCATCCATCCGGTTTTGCGGGTTCATGTTCTTCTCAGCACGCTCCGGAAGCTGAGCAAACTCCGGAAGGTGCCCAATGGTCGTTGGTCGGATCCAGCAGCACCGTTCCGATGTGCAGGTCCTAGACATCGCTTAGCTGCAAATTGGTAGCTCTTTGGTGCACAAAACGTGACGGACGTGATGAAAAAATACCAAACGTTTGTTTACTGCCAAACGGCAACAAAGGGAAGTCAAAGTTCGCTGCAACAGTCGAGAAACTCTTCTTTCCAAGATCCTTTACATGCAAAAGACAGTGACAGACAGGAAGCAGCAAAACAGCACGTCATGGCTTGCACGGCTCAACTACCGACTTTGTGCACTTGACTGGTGCACTGAGCCGACTGGGGAGAGACTGAATGAATTGCTGTTTCAGAGGTTAGGCTTTAGGGTTATCCTAGACAAAGCCCAGGCATCACGTACTATTTCAGGCCGATGGGATCTCTATCTGACATGAGAGAGAGAGAGAGAGCTGTGCCGCACGGCTTCGGCTCCACCAGCACGGCACGTGGAGCATCGACTCGGGTGAGCAGCTCGGAGCAATGGCTGAGCGACGAAGGAGCGAGGTGGTTGACCCACTTGAGCTGCAAGTTTGAAGCTTTCTGTGTCTCGTCTCAACATGTCTCAACCTTTGAAGCTGTCAGGTGTCCAGTGGCCAAGAAGATGGCAAGAGTAAAGGAAAGCGAAAAGGGGGGAGTCTTTGTCAAGCCGTCTGAAGTCGTCTCAAGCCGTTAGGCATCAAGCTCCTCCAAACCGTCCACCGTAACCTGTGTCAACACGCTACTCGTAGGAAGCTGTCAGGCGTCACGGTTTTTGGAATGTGTCAGCCCGTCAAGCCTGACAGCTTTGGGGGGGTCATGCCAGAAAGCTTGACAAAAAGTATGTATCTATATATATACACACAATTACACACATATATTACATCATATTATATAGATCTAAAGACTTATTTAATATGCCTTTGTATATTTAGAAAAACACATGTTGAATCAACAATGCCTCAATCAACTCTTCAAAATTAACGAACCAACACTCTCGCTGCCGCTCGTCCTCGCCTCTTTCACGAAGGTCCCAATCCTCCCCGGCATGATCTGCCTGTGCTGAGGGAAGGTCAGGGGTCATCATCATCATCATCATCATCATCATCATGATCATCATCATCATCATGTCGTTAAAGACGCATTCAAACCTCCCTCAAGCCTAAGAGCGATGGCCTCATTGAAACCTCCTCCGGACCTTTCCTTCAGACTTTATATAAACATGTCCAGGTGGGTCGGGGACATTGGAGCAGCACCAAACAAAAGTGGGACGCGCGACTTTGTAACACCTGAGTGTGATGAGATGACACCTGAATGCACCAAAATAGCCGTGGGGACACCTAGAGACTAGAACAGTTGGGCCAGAAAAAGTCTACCGCTTGACGCTTGATAGCCAAAGTATGGCGGCTGACATACGGTTGGTGTTGTTATTTGTTTACATTCGTGGGACGACTTCATCAGGTTGTGTTTTGATTGTTTGTTTGATGTATTCGTTCTTCAGGTCGGGGCAATGTCCGAATTGCAGGGACCCAATCCTTTTTTGTTGGCTGCGGGCTTCACCCAAAGCATGTAGGGCTTCACCCAAAGGCCTCTTTCGTTTTGGTACGTACTGGCTGGATTGTTCGCTTGCCACATTCCGCGTGAGCTATGGGCGGGACATGAACTACAACACGTGTTTAAAAGAAGCCAAAGCCGAAACAAACAGCACGCCAGAGATTCCACACATTTTGTCCGAGTAACCATCCAGCAGCCTTGGCATCAACCATCGTTTCGAAGAAACTGCTTGGACTCGCCTGAGGGATCCTCCTCGAATTGGTGAAACATTGACTAAGGACCCTTTCTGAAATGTCCACCCATCCAAGCCCAAAAACATAGGTTGCAAGTTGGTTTAATCTGATCCTACTCTTATGCACCTGTGTTCTGGCAGCTGGCAGAAATCCGCCAAATTTGTTCGTTTGTTTCAGCGCTAAACAGGCTACACCAAGTTGGGAGTTCATAGATGACACGTGCCTCCCAGACAACCCCTAAATCCAAAATGGTGTTATTCAATGTTATTGAGCATGATCAATGATCACTACCAGTTTCTTTGTTTAGCCCAGCACTGTGAGGGGACGACCCCTTGGGTGAACCAGCCAATATCTGTGCACTGCGATCCTTGCTGCCGCCCTTCAAAACTTGAATGGTGCCAGGCGTTAAAAGGGGCGTGAGGGCGGCAGCTTTGTGGAGTGGTGAATCGAATTCAACCGGAAGCGTTTTCGCCTGTCATCTTCTGCTTTGCAAACTTTATACATGTTTCATTTGACACGCAAAGGTGCATGAAGGCGCACTGTCATGAACTGTTTCTTCCGGACGCTTCAGTGACTGCAGTGTGCTTTGAAATCCACCGGTCAACGCACAAATGTCGCACCGGGTCACTCCTTTGGCCACTGGGTTTTCGTTGAGAAGCGACCGGTGGAGCTGGTGTCC